CGATAATAATTTTATTCGTGTAACGTTTATATTGAATGACACTTGATCTGCAATGACCCGCGACTAATACCATGTCGGGGACGTTATCTTTCGAGATTTACGGTACATATTATGTTTTTGGCAAAATAACTACTATCTGTTGTATAATATGTTAATTAAAATTTATGGATTTTACATCGCTCATAATTTCGTAATTACGTATTACGTAAATATTACGTTTTTGGCAAAACAATTACACCTCATGTATAATAATCCAATCCCGGACCCCTGAAATACTGTGAAACAAGTACATATTTAGTAATTTATACCCAATTCATGAAATTCAATTTTGTTTTGGACGGCAAGTACAAGTGGTGTCATAATTTTAATAATAATTAATTAAAATTAAAAAATAAAAGAAATCTTGCGAATATGAGAATAAATGTTCAAAAAAATACAATAGATATATTTGATAAGTTTTTCAAATATGAAATACTACTTTCGACAACTAATGATAAAAAAATAGTTGAATTGAACTTGGAAAACATTAAACAAGAAATATCTAAAGCAAATATTTATAATGATGGTTCTAAAATAGTACGTAAAATTATTAAGGAAAAACAAGAAATTCCTAATGTTGAAATTTATAATGGCGATTGTTTAAGTCATGCATTAGATTTAAGACAAAAAGGATACAATCCATTAGTGCTAAATATGGCCAATGCTGATCATCCTGGTGGAGGTAAAGAAAATATCTTTTAAATCCAAAAAATTAAATTATTTTGTTGCAAGTATTCAAAACAACAGCATTATTACTATTAGGTTATAAATATGGTGCAAGAGCTCAGGAAGAAAATTTATTTCGTCGTACTAATTTATTTCAATATCTTGAACCAAGAAGAGATGATTGGTATCCAATTCCAATATTCGGTGGTATTTATTGTCCAAATGCAACTGTAATCAAAGCTAATGAACAAGAAGGATATCAATTATTAGAAATTCCAGAAACAATGTCTTTTGTTGTGAGCAAATATTAATTTTTTTAATCAATTTAAATCAAGTTATCTCAATTCAATTATTGTTAATTCACTAGACGGTTGCAGCATTATGTCAACCAGATCTTGTAGAGATCCTGATAATTATGGAAGACCTACTTTAAAAGATATGGATAAATCAATAACCAAACAAAAAATCAGAACAATTTTTAAATATTGGATTGGATAATAGTAAGTAAAAAAAAATTTCTGATTTTAATAGAATTACTTTTTTTAAATTTTTTAAATTTTTTAGATCATGATTCAATTGTTTTGAGTGCATTCGGTTGTGGAGCATTCAGCAATCCTCCATCAACCATTGCAAAATTATTTCATGAAGTTATCACGAATGAGTATTTTGGTAATGGTGAAAATTTACCACAAACTTATAAACACATTTCTTTTGCTATATTTGATGATGATAACTCTAAACAATGGACAAATGAAGGAAATTTTAAACCTTTTCAAAGATTATTTGGGAAAGGTTTGGTGAAAGAGGAAGAAGGCTTGATGAAAAAGGAAGGAAGTTTAATGAAAGAAGGTGATGGATTGGAGAAAGAAGATGTATTGGTAGTTAAAGAAGGAGGTGAATGATTGACTAGTGAAACAATAAATAAAAACATATTATTGTAATTATATTAATAAATAAGTATAATGGCTTATAATCATCCCCATATAAGATAATTGAGCAACAGTATAAATAAGTTAGATAACTGAGAGAGACTTATCTATTGCTTGCTACTTGATTTATCTTGATAACTATATTCAGTGTTGTCTGGTATTTTAACAATTCTTGATTAATTGCTGATATAGTGAAATGAGGACCACACCCACAAGGGTGTCAAAACTAAGGAGAAAAAAAAAATACTAGGAAAAAGAGAAGAAAAAGAAATCTATAAATAAATCACAAACCAAACACATTGCCCTAATTTTGTTACTCCGGCTTTAAGCTCGGTCTTCTCAGCTTTGTGCCTGGCATTCTCCCCTGTCTCAATTTCATATTCTCAGTCTCAAGTTCGGGAAACTCACTGTCATAATAAATCAATTTCGGATTGGATGTTTGATGATAACTTTTTTACCTAAATCACGCATCCATTTAAATGTATAGCTACATTATAGATTGCCAGGAAAAAATGTAATCACTGACCGATTTGAAATTTTCGCTGGGGAATATTACTAAAAAGGTAAAGATTTTATATAGATTTTGATATAAAATGTACTTTCGGTGGGATCCTTAAGCTCAAAAGTTTCCTGATGCGATACTATTACAGAAAATTATTGAAATTGTAATTTGAAATTACAACTTCTTTAATTAACCAGTTAATTGATTAAGTTTTTTTGAAATGTTTCAATGAGAAGTGAAGCACTTAACCCAACACTCTTTTCAAATATATACAAAAAAGGCCTTGTGAAATATAGTCAAAATGGTCATTGTTTTATTGATACAAAAAATAATAATAATAATTTACATGCATGTAAACTTGTAAACATAATAATGATATTAATAATATTTGATATTATTTAAAAACAAATAGATAATAAAAAGTTTCTGCTGTATAATTTCTAAAACTTTTTAAATAATTCTACATATCTTCATTTTTTATTCACTACGAGTTTTCTGTCAATTTGGGTTACGCTCCATGAAATGATATCACCATTAAGTCCATTATAATAAGCATTGAAGTGTAGTTTGATAGCACCTTGAGAACAATCACAATAGAAAAAGGTGGTGCCAAATATGTTAGGATTGAAACTCCATTTGTAAATTTCTGTAAAATTTTCAAACCAATATTGTCATCTCCTGAAGTGCAGTCGATAGTTAATAATTTACCTGTATCATTACTAACAATTATGGCAACAGCTTGCGCAGTCGATAAAAGAACAACTATTAGAAATAAAGTGTAAAGGTAAAGAAATTTCATTTAGAATGCTTAACAGTTAATTGAAAATTTCTCTCTTAGAGGAATCGAGTAAACTCAAAAAGAAAAAATAAAAAATAAAATAGTAAAAATAAAATAACGTAAATTGTCTTAGCTTTTAAAAGATTTCATTTACGGAAAATTTTCAACTTATGAAAAAGAACCTATATACTAGAATACATATGGGAAAATATACACAATTAATTTTTTTTAGAAATTTGCATATGATTCGAAATTCTTAAGTAGAACTCTGTTTTTACATGTTCTTTTTATTAATTAATTAATTGGTTGGATGTAAGGTTTTACATGCAAAAAATTCAACTTGAGTTATCATTATTTTTTATATTAATATTAACTAGAGTGATGACAAGTGGCAATAACCATCATTCTTTTAATAAACACTACCTGACAATCTCTCCGGATGTATTATTTTTACTTTTGCTTTGTCTATACATTTTTTCGAAGAGAAAAAAGAATTGTTGTTTGATTGACAAACACGTACATATTAATTATTTATCATTACAGTCAACTCCCTCTAAGTGCACCCCCCTCGGGAATTAGCGATAGCGTGTACTCAGAGAAACAAAGCATTTCATTGGTTGCACATGACACCAATAAAGAATAAAAATTTTTACACGAATTTTTTAAAAAAAAAACAGTCGTAAAAATAAAAATTTATTAATTAATTATAACTATAATATTATCACTAAAAAAAATTTTTATATAATTATTGGTTAAGATAAGATTATATTGTAGTTTGCCTCATTGTATTTATTGTTTTCAAACTAATATATCTATCAAGAGAATTAATCAGTTTTATTTGTTGACTAGAATTTTCTTGTTGTAATAAAAATGTGCGGACAATTTCCAAGTCTTTTAAAGCTTCACTAGTACTTATCAATACTTGCTCAGCACTATCATCTTCATCGAAACCATCAATACAGTTTTTTCTTCTGGATTATTCAAATATTCTTGAATAGGTATTGTATCATTTAGGTTGAGGGCAGCAACTATCTGAGGAAGTTGGTTTGTTGTTGGATCATTAATATCATCAGATATTGGTCAAATTAATTCAGTCTGGAAGAATTTTAGTATAACATAATTTTTTTTTACGTCCACAAACAAATCCCAAAGAACATATTATCAGTTTCTTTTTTGTCTTTACTTAAGTAAAAAAAAAAGTTTATTATTTAGCACCTGTAGATTTTTAAGAATTTTCATATAAAAATTTTTACATGTTCCGTATTTATTAAAAACATGCGATTTATTGTTTTCAAAAATAACAACAAATAGAAAATTTTTTTTACTTATTAATTAGATATGTATTTTTAACCGCCAGTCTTTTGTGATGTTGAAGAGAAGGATTATTTTTAGCTTCTATTTCGTCAGTTTCAACAAGTCTTTGAAGTTCTTTTAACATATCCTCGAGAGAGTATTTTTTCCTTTTTTCTATATTACCAGCTAAAACATGATTTTTAATTGTTTAATCGCATTTAAATCAAACTTCTTACCACCTTTCTTCCCATACTCTTTAGAGCAAATCCAGGTTCCAATTTTTCATCCAAGAGGTTTTTCAAATTCATATTATTTAGCAACAGAGAATTATTGTCTGAAACGAGATAACTGTATAATTTATTTCCAGTGAAATCCAAATTTTTCTCTTGAAGCCTCAACCTTACTTCAGGAACAGACAATTTTTGAATTGATGGGTCAATTTCTGAAGGAACAAATATTTTCCATTCTGATTGAGGTGTTGTTTGATTAATGACTGTAACGTTTGGTTGATTAATATTATTATTTTTCAGAAGTTTTTAATATCAAAAATTGAATATTTTTTGATTTCCCAAAAATTTGGTATTTCATACACTGCTATATATATCCATCTTTGTCACCAGATGGCCACATGAAAGTAAAATAATTAGAAATTCCTTTAATGGTACCAACTGGCACTTTTTTACTATGATGTGGGACTATTACCTTCATGTATTGGATGTCCCATACATTGTCCAGATTGATGCATTTTTTATTTTTACCACATTAATAAAGCTAGCCCTGGTGGCTCGATTTCACACATATACATATATAATCGTAATGATGTCATGTGAATATGATTGAGAATTTTTACTGACCTTGGGTCAGTGAAATTTTTTGGCAAAGTGATTAACTTTTGAATATATCTATTAAATCTTTCTAATATTTTTCCAAGATCTGATGTTTTTTCCAGAACAAGGAGGAGATCATGATATTAAAACAGTACCAGTTTTTTTCTGGAAATTGGATAAGATGAGCTAACCAATTCAGAAAGTACTTTGTCCTCACCAGATGTTTTCTATATGCCAGATAATTGGATTTATGAAATCATAATTAATCTTAAAGAATTTAGTATTTGGTGGAAATGGCAGAAAATCAATATTATGATATAAAATTAGGCATTTAGTAACTGCCTGGTTTAACAATGGTATTAGTTTTATTGATTTCCCTTCATATTCAGTTATACTAATTTCATACTCAGCAAGATCAAGTTTAGGATGCCATGCCAAAGAAAAGACCATTATCTGAATCGTCCATTTTAAGTAATCACAATCTTGAGGTTGTTTGAACACATGCAGCTGTTGCCTGAATTGCTTCATAAAATCAAATTACATGTATAACTTTGTTTGGATGTACACATATCAATTAAATCCCCCAAACAAAATGGTCATCAGGGTCTGAAATTCTGGAAGCTGAACATGGGGTATAAATACATATTTTTACCGCCCAACATGGTCAGAAATTAAAAATTGGCCGCACTAGTATATAAGTAAAATGGGGTTAATTATAGTCCACAACTTCTGTGCCTGGACTATAATTAACCCAGACATGTGTCAAAGAAAAACAAAATAAGCCGCATGACCTCTCAAATGTGACCAGAATCGCGTAATTGACTACACTAATATATAAGTAGTGGGGATGTTTATAGTCGCAACTCTGGACTATAATTAACCCAGGCATGTGGCCAAAAAAACGAAATAGGCCACATGTTCTAGACCCAAGATGGTGAATATGACTCTCAAATGTGGCCAAAATCGTATAATCAGCCACGGGGATAATTATAATCCCCACTGACCACAAGTAATAATATTTGTCCAAGATAATAATTGTGTAATCTAATTATAGCATCACAAGTAGAATTGATACTTGTATATATATATATACCAGTTTTGATCTAATCCAAATTTTGAAAATCTTGATCGATCGATTTGGAAACTCATGCACAATGAAATAATAATAAACGATTGACAAAAAAGTCGCGTGTGTTAATTACATTCTCCTATTCATATACAAATACGTCATATATTAATCATTGGTATTTAAAATGATTTTTTTTCTTTGAATAAATTTTTTTATTCAATAATATTATTACTACTTTTTAAACATGCCAGACAAAACATTAAATAATCAAACATCGTCATCTTTTTTAAAAAAAATTATTAACGCACGATTAATTCATAATCATAAAATCATTGAAAATGATGTTTTATTCATTCAAAATGGTTTAATAATCGACCCACAAAATCATTTTTTCACCAAAGAATCATCTCCAGACTTGGTGATTGATGCAAAAGGATTATTTGTAGTCCCAGGATTCATTGACATACAAATCAATGGTGCATTTGGCGTTGATTTTTCACAAAC